TATTTTTAGCTGGGGCAAAAGTTTACATTCACAGCAATAATAGGTTAGCAATACCATCCAGAATCCATCTCTGAAAGAGATGGGTAATTCAAAAATATGAAAAATATATGGTTATTAAACATGGGAAGAAGATAAAACCTTCTTAATTATGCATTTATTAAAGGTTTCTCTCCTTCCCCTGCAAATATCTCAAAAAGAAAAGCTCATTAAATATAAAAGGAAAATAAATCAAGGTGCATGATAAATCTTTTTCATGGTACCCAAGGCCATATAATGAATTTAATTGTAGTATATCCAGGACAGACAAAAGGAGGAAAAGATCTTTATTTGACACATTAGTCACTGTGGGGAAGCATATTTTGAAGTATAGGACAAATTCCTGAATTATCATGGCTTTTCAGAAAGGTGAGGTCTGGATCTGGCCTAGATCCAGTTTCTCATTCTTGATCTATTAAGATACTGTCCTACGGTATATTGCAACGTTCCAGTTGCTGGGATCAACAGTAGGAAGGTTGGTAGGAAAAGAAGGGTGGTGGGTTAAATTAGCAGGAAGAACATTCTTTTTACAGCTTACCTACAGGAGAAAAGCAATCAACTTGGAGCCACAGAGTAAGAAGAGGAATGATTTTGGAACTGCAGAATTCTCAGCTAACGATTGGCAAACTGTTGAATTCTCAAATGGCCTCAGCCTGTGCACTTCAAAGCTGTGAGACGTGTAGCTGATGTGAGATGTGTAGCTTACCTAGCAGTGAAATGCTAGGTAAACTGTTCAAAATCTGTTCAAATGCAATTGGCTGTAAACCATCCTGATTTGTAAGCCCACTTCAGGACTGGACAGATTCTAGCTAACTAGAGGTTGGAAGAGTCAAAGAAAATGTAACATATGATCAGTGATGTCATCAATTTGCCACTTCTGGATCAGAAACCTCGCTAAGCTTGTCGATCGAAAGGTCGGCAGTTCAGTGGTTCGAATCCCTAGTGCCGCGTAATGGGGTGAGCTTCCGTTACTTGTCCCAACTTCTGCCAACCTAGCAGTTCAAAAGCACATAAAAATGCAAGTAGAAAAATAGGGACCACCTTTGGTGGGAAAGTAACAGCATTCTGTGTGCCTTTGACGTTTAGTCATGCCGGCCACATGACCATGGAGATGTCTTAGGACAGCGCGGGCTCTTCAGCTTTGAAACGGAGATGAGCACCGCCCCCTAGAGTCGGGAACGATTGGCACACATGTGCGAGGGAAACCTTTACCTTACCAATCCCTGGCCATGGTTGCAACTATAAGAACTTTCAGTATAAGGGTGAAGTACCTCTCTTTGCTCTCTTATGTTTTGTGACACAGGTGGAACAATGGAAATAATGGTCTAGAGTAGATGAGATTAGACAATGCCAGTCCTGAGAATTAGGAGCAAAACTGAAGCTGCCAGACCATTTTTGCAACATTGTATTTCATTCATGAAAAATAGCCTCCATGATCCATTAAGGATAATACATCTGATATTATTTATATTATTATGGAAATAGTTTATAGTTTATCATCAGAAAGGCATGGGAAAAAACTAACATTTCTATTCTGTATGAGTAAACCCTATCCACCTACCCCTTTTTTCTTTCATTTTTTAAACACAACTCAATCCTTTCTTGGGTCTTCTAAAATTGTGGGCATTAAATGCCAGATTCCCTCTCAGCCAGGCTGCCACAAGAGACAGAAACATAGTCAGTTAATTGAAAAACAAGCATTTGAATATAGGGTGGGGGTGAGGTGAGATCTGTCATTTTATTCAGCAGTTACAGAGTTAACAGCAGTTCTGTGGTTTGTCTGTGGCTGGTCTGGGCGGGAAAGCAAAACAGGACCCCTCCAATCACGAACCAGGCAGGCTTCACGAGTAATGCATGGGTTCACATTTCAGTTCTGCATGCACAGCAAGATGGTAGGGAAGGTGCAAGCATGCATGATTAACAACTTCTGCAGCCCAAATAAATCACCCTACCAAAGGGGGCAGGGGAGCCCATTCAAGATTGAAGGATCTGGAGGCAAGATATGTGCCAAAGCAGACATTCAATGTGAAATTGCTTACGACACTCTAATGACAGCAATAGGCAGGGGGTAAGAAAGGAAGTATGAAAATGTGTGTCCAGCTGATTGGTGGAAGCATTTACATATAATTACTGATTAGTGGGAAGTAGTTAAGTGTGCAAGGAGGAAGGAAAGCAGCTCTCCTGGGCTAGATAATTGGATCTAGTACCTTTTTCCTGAGCAATAAAATAGAGTTAGCATATCTAGGTTGCAAAAATGCAAAGAACTACAGTACTAGATGGCATGAAAAATACATTATTTTTATTGTTGTTATTGTTATTATTTATTACAGTTCTATATTGCTCATCTCACCTAAGTGACTCTGGGCAGTTTATAACACCATAATAAAACCATATAAATTTATGAATAAAAGCAGAGTTTAAAAACAATTAAGAACGAATTAAAATATACACAAATAAAAATCAAAGTTAAAAATTCAAAAGGATATAGAAAATTCTTAAACTCTCCTGCCATTCTAGCTAAAATGCATTAATGAAAGCCAGGTTGGTCTACTAGTTCAAGTGCTGACTATGAGTTCTAATTCCTCCTTAGGCACGAAAGCCGGCTAGATGACCTTGGGCCAATCACTCCCTCTCAGTCCAACTCGCCTCACAGGGTTGTTGTTGTTGTTGTTGGGGGAAAGTAGGAGGAGGATAGAGTATTAGGTACATTCCCTGCCAAGTTATTTATAAAATTGATAAAGCCATAAAATAATCCACTGTTAAATTACTATTGCCATTACAGTAGTGTCATTATCATTCATGAAATTCTAAGATAAATAGCTGCTTCACTCTATTCAGTACAGTATGAGTCAGCTGTCATAGAACAAGATGGACCTTTATTTTTTCAATGGATTTAAACTATGTGGAGAGCTATATATAGGCAGAACTGGATTCAATGGCTTAGGTGACTGATGTGGAAAATCCAAATTTGCCAACCTCATTCATGATCAATGAAACAAATCTTGGAAATTTAACTGAAAATTTAACTTAAAAATGCAAACAGAGTTGCAGCGACTCTCTTTCCTGCACACCTAATGCAACTATGATAAATGCCAGGATGGACTAATGCAGCCTCCTGCCATACGTTCTGCTTGGGCTGCAATTCCAGCCAGCCTCCCAAGATACTTGGAAAGTGTCAAGCTCAGAAAGCTAAATCTCCGCAAGAAACTCTTCAACAGGCTATCCTCAAAAGCATCCAGAAGCTTCAGTCTTTATTTGCCTCATTTATTTCCCACTTCATTAACTTACAGTACCTTTTTATTCATCATTCTTACTAATCATCAGAAGGCTCCCAGACATAATTGAAGCTGTTTGTGTATGGAGATTCTCAGTCATCCAAGGTCATGATTGTCCCAAAGGTGATTTTTTTTTTCAAAAGGCAGCTGGACTTTGTACAGGTAGTCCTTGACTTACGATCACAACTGAGCACAAGTGAGACAGTTGTTAAGTGAATTTTGCCCCATTAAATGACATTTCTTGCCATGGTTATTAACTGAATCACTGTAGTTGATAAGTTAGTAACCTGGTTGTTATGTGAACCTGGCTTCCCCATTGACTTTGCTTGTCAAAAGGCTGCAAAAGGTGATCACATGACCTTGGGACATAGCAATGGTCATAAGTATGAACTAGAAAACACCTTTATTAGGTATGTTTTAAATGGTGTTATGATTCATCTTAGAAGGTTTTTGTATCAAAAAGCAGTTTGGAGACATTTCAAATGAAGAAATATAAAACCAGTGAAAGAAAACTCACCTCTAAGCTGGAACCAATTACCTAATTTTAGATATCAATAAAACTTCAAATCGTGGAAATGTGAATAATGCAAGCACTTACTGGGATTCATTATCTGTACTAATTGAGACCTAGTTGTACTGTATTATTTTTATTGAAATGGATTTAATTGTTTAAGATGAGTTCAGGAATATCAAATGCCAGTTTCGTCTATTGGTTAAGGTACTTGCCTGGAAACCAGGACTGTGAGTTCTAATTCCATTTTAGGCATGAAAGCTGGCTAGGTGACTTTGGGCCAGTCATTCTCTCTGTTTAAACATAATAAAGGCAGGATTAAAAATCTACTAAAGATATCTAATAAATAAATGCCACCATGATGGTGGAATGTATGCAAAATGTGTAAATGTAAAATCAGGTAATGTATCAGTTAAAAGCCATATAAATAGTGATTCCAGACTAAAAACTAAAATGACAAATGGTACAAAAATACAAGGGGATGGGGGAGTTTCACCAGCAAATTATACTCATTATCCCCTGGAGCTGGAATCTGCACAGGAACACTGTTGTTAACTTTATAGTAGCCTCGGGTTTTCTGACATATGCTCACAAGGAACTTTAAATTGAACACATATGGCCCATAGCCAACCCTGGCAGAAGGGCAGGGACCAGATTTCATCTGTAGGCGCAAAGAAGTATTTTCACTCCATAGAGAAGGAGATCACACATGGCACCACATTATAACATGGTTTACTGCTTCTTTGGTGTTTAATTTTTCACAGATCACTCAACATTTTGTATGAATTTAGAAAATTATGGCTTAGTCAAAAGCCCTCCAGTATCTCCATTTGAGAACAGAGCTATCAACTGCTTCCAGAGCAGGGTCTGGTTAAAAGTAAGCAACACAACTCCCAACTCTGTTCCTCACAATATAGTAGTTCAGTCTTTCCAAAATCTAGTAAAGTGGATTAGGAGGAACCAGGTTCAAATCCCAGGATTAAATTCACAAGCAATAGAGGATGTCGGATGGGCGGAGGGAAGCCTCCCCCCCCCCCACTCCTCGCCGTGGCGGTGAAATTCAAACCGGAGAAAAGACTTCCCGCTAATTTTTTCGGCCAGTAAAGCTCATTGCATTGGTCTTTCTCTTGCAACTGAACTGACCCACGGATGCCCGAGCGTTGTTTTGATCCCGCGATCTTCTACGAGCTGCCTACCTTCTCGAGGAGGAATAACGCTCTGCTATCTTTGCAGAGAGCTTCTTTCTTTTCTTTTCTTTTTTTTTAAGGGGAGGAGGAAACAGCTGTGGGAGGCGACGTTAACCAACGCATCGTTAAATGCCCTTGTATGGGAGGGTGGAACCGATTTTGCAAAGCGAGGCTGAAAGGAGAGCGTGCAGGGGGCAACGACGCTATGGAGCCCGGCCCAGGCTACGGGGCAAGCAGTGGTCCGCCGTGCCGCCTTTGATGCCGCCCTTCGCGGGGATCTAGTGGGGAGAGCAAGTGTCATGCTAGAGCCCCGCGAAGGGTCTGGGCCCCCGCAGCAGGTGTCCCTCCAAGAGGGCTTCCGCGATCCCGAGCGGCACCAGCGCTGGGCCAGCCTTTTCGAGCAGCTAGACACCAACAAGGATGGGCGAGTGGACATCAACGAGCTTCGGGAGGGCCTGGCGCGAATGGGCATGGAGGCCGGCCCCCAAGCCGAGCAGGTCAGTGGCTAGACGGGGGAACACCGTTTGGCGGCAGATAGATGGGGCTCGACGGCGGATGGGATTGCTCGAGCCAGTTTCTGGGCTCCCCAGGCTTCCTCCGTAGTACATCTGCAGCATGGCTCTGCAGCTCCCCCACCACCCAGCTCCCCCCAAACCGCGGCTCGCCTTCCCTTCCTCCCTTTTCGGTTTCCTTGAACCTGCATAGGCGGCGCCTGCCCACAAAAAGAGCCAGCGGGGGGAGCTGTCTCTGCGAGGGCTCGATTCCACGCGTGGGTGCTGGGGAAGGACCTCTACTAGTGCGCCAAAGGAAACCCATAGGATCCCTTCGCACGCGCCGGATCCCTGCATGCAGTAATATGCATCAGCCTGGGGCCAGAAAAGCCCTCGGCCCCCTCCATAATCGGGAGAGGCAAATAGAGTAGCCAAAAGAATAGCCCATGAATTATACAAGGGTCGGGTGCTTGGTTTTTAGGCCCTCTGTCTGGTAATTAGAGAGGCCCGTCTTATAAGAGGCAGCTCTCTAGGGAGGCCAGTTCTGAAGGAAGGTTTTCACCAGGTTTTAGAAGCAGGAATTTAAGTGGCTTCAGCTTCTCACCCTGGTGATAAATCTAATCCCAGTACTGTGCAGAAGTCCTCCCTTTCCTTCGGCCTGGTCACCCTGAGAAACACATGTTAGTTCATAGTAAGTTTATACAATTGATATATTGCAGAGTTTTTATATGGGCCCTCAGGCCAGTCCTGAGAAGGACATTCTTGCAGCAATAAAGGGTCTATGCTGTAAAATGCCTGCCTTAAAGTAGCCCAGCCAACTCCACATGCTAAGAGTTAAAAGCAAGACTCTCAGATTCAGCTGCTGTTTGCTTTAATCAGGCTGGGCTATCCTCAGAAACCTGTACAGCAACGTTATTCCAAAACCAACAAGGTGATTTGTGACAGTGATATTAAAAAGTATATGCTGTTGTGGATTACAGCCCGCTTCAGCCAAACCACTGAAGTTTGGCTCAGTTGGCAGCTGTGTAGAGACCTAGAGGAAAAAAGGTAAGCCGTGGGGCCAGTAGCAACAAAATCCAAATATCATTACTCACTTAAAATAAATGCAAATTAGCACAGTAATCATATTCCCTGGATGGGGGTTTTTTTGGCTGCTCTGGACAGTAATGAAAATTACTGTCCTCAGGAAAAGGCTCTTCGAAAGGAGGTATCAATGCATCAGATTAGTGGTGATTTTAGGTAATTGTTATCATTACATTAATAATTAGCTGTGGGAAGAAGAAATAAAGCTATTCTCTTTGAACTGACCACTTTGGAACAGTGCATGTATTCTGAGATCCTTGCCTTTCCCCAGTGGCTATTTTGCAAGTTTCTCTCTTTTGGAGTCCTTATGGGGTCATCATCATTCTTCGTCAATTAATTAAAAGTACATTAAAGTACCACGACCTCTAAGCACAAGTCAATTAAACAACTGCAGGAGAAGCTGTCTTTAGCAGTGCTGCAAGCAATCCATTGAAAAGGAAATGGCATTTCCTACAAAAGGTTCGTACAAAATTTCCTACAAAATGTAGGAAAAAATGTCTGGTTCTTCATGGGGGGAAAATTTTTAACCTTGATGCAGTTCAGTAACTTAAAAATTCAACAAAAAAACCACTCAGGATCAGCAGTTAACAAAAGAATAAGAATGCCCAACAGTTTTCACTTAGGACAGTTTCAGTTTTGTCTCTGAACTTGTACAAAGTGCTACCGACACATGTTCTTTGATTGATCCGCAGTAGTGCTGTAATGAGATTGCTTGATCATTGGATAGATTTACTTATTTTCATAGTGGTTCTTTGAAAATGCTTCAGGGGCTGTTCATACCATTAAACCATATGATGTGATTTACAGAACACAACTTGTTTTAACAGTAAGTTTTTTAGGTTGGGTTTAGCATGTTATGGGAATGTAGCTATTAGGCTTTTAAATAATAAATTATGGCTTAGTGTGTTATGGCTACCAAGCTAATAAGGTAATAAACCATATGGTATAAATCAAGCCACAGTTTTTCCCCTTAAGGTTTTTTTCCTCCCAATTCTGGTTATTAGATACCTCAATGATTCACAAATGAGAATGATCACAAATCCTCTAGATGGGATACAGTTTTTTTTAACTAGTTTCACTGACACTGTAGTAGGAGACAACAAGATGGCATTCTACAGACACTGTTCTGAAGCTACATTGCTGTTGGACAGTTCATAGTCTATTTTGAATCTAATATTAAAACCAAGCTAAAGTGGGTTACCAAGGAAACTACCAGCTTAAAAAAGAAAGAAGTCCTAACTAAATATGCTAATCTGGTCAGTGCCTAGATTTAGTATATTATCTGAAGTAAAAGAAAACCAGTTAATAAAATATGACACAGCCTAAAATATAAAAGCAGAAACATTTTTCCTTTTTTAAATAGATCATTACATCAATTCTGGACCCCAAAATGCAGCTACAACCTGTTGTAAAAGACTGTAGTTTTCTCAGTAGAATTTACAAGAGAGTATTAAGGATGTGTGTGTCTGCAGATTAATCGGTCAGTTTGGATGCTAGTTCAATTAAACTCAGTGGGATTTACTTTGAAGTAAATGTATGTAGGATTATAACCTTAAAAATCTTCAAACTATTTAAACTTAGTTTCTTGTATATTTATGTACACATCTATATAGTTTTCCAAAATAATAGTCCCATGGGATAGAGGATTTTATTAAAGCTTTGCCTTATTGAGCATTATATCCTTGATTTGCAAATAATGTGGAAAGGGAATTTAATCTGCAGAAAGGGCAAGGAATGTTAAACTGTAATGATTATTCTCAAGATGCATTCAGATAACTAAGAACTATTTAGGATGGACCATACTTTTCCTGGATCTCAGCTTGTTTGCTCTGAAAAATTTTGTGCAAAATTGATTGTGTCTATCTGCATGCCAAAATGTACCTTTCAGGTACATTTATGGTAGTTCTTGGATGCATTGTTGCTGTCAGTGCACTTAAGTATTGGCTTAGTTTACAAGTCAAATTAACTAATAAGATTCATTTCATATCCAAAAACTACATTCTGATTTATTTCTTCTGCATTAGAAACAGCAAGGGAAGAAGGTAGAGGTATACTTACAGATTATCTAGTACACTAAGTACAGCCTTCCTAACCTCTAGATCAGTATTGCTTAATATTTGCCTTCAGGACACCTCACTTTTAAAAATCATGGTGGACTTGTTTGCATGGGTGATACTTACTATATTAAAAATTAAAACCGACACATTCATAGAATGTTTGTTGAATAATGTAAACATAAGTGTCAAATATGAGCATATGTAAAACATTTTTATGAGAAATCCTTGTATCTTTTAACAAAAATAATGGAAAATGTGACATTGTTTTACATTTTTGCAAATATTTTCAATATATGACAAGTAATTTTGATTCCACAGACCCCTGAGAAATACTGCTGTAAACCTATGGGAACAACTATTGATGAGAAATCCCATCTGAGATAGTCCTTTGCTGTTCCTGGAGCTACTGTTTCCTCTTTCATTTGCCCCTTTATTCTGCTTGGACCACCATAGTTGCTTTATTATCTTAAAACCAACATTCTTAACATACCATCAATATTTTTCTCATTTTAAACAAAAGATTTACAAAATGGTATATTTGTAAAACTCTCCACACCAAAAAAAGAAAACCCAGGAAGGCACTTTCTGCAGTCATCTTGCAGAGCTCTTTATTATGGCTTTTTCCCTTCAAGCAGGTCAGGTCCTCCCTTCCCTCAGCGGTAGCACACTTTGGTGTCCTTTTGGGTCTTTTGGACACAATGAATATTAAATGCACCTTGTTGTCAAGGCTTGGCATGTGAAGCAAAATTGAATAGACCTCTTGGGGAAGGGACAAATAACATTAACTCAGCATCCCATTTTTTTTGTAGTCCTCAAATTATAGTGGAGTGGGACATCACTTTGACTAATGGCCACTTTGGTTACTGTGCCAGTGTTTGATCTCAAATCCACTTGTGCCATTGACAGATTTGGCTCAGTAACTGCAGGAAAGACATCTTCGTGCAACTTTGGGGATTTATAAGCCATGGTTTGTGTGCTAACTAAACCAACAAGTTTAGTGTGAGGTAAAATATAGTCCCAAACTTATTCTCATTCATCAAAAATTTACTGAGCCAGGTAATTTGATGTATGGCAAACCATTGGGCATCAGAAAAAGAGAATCCATTCAGAAATTGAGTGTAGCTAGTGGAAGTCAGGCACTCAACTTGCAGACTCTTTAGTCATTAGAGCATTTCACAGCTTGTTTAAACCATGTGGCATTGGGCTATTTTCATACTTCTATGTTTACATTCTTTTGGTTTGTCTGGCTCGTTTTCCTGCTCAGACTGGTCATGTGAGTGCCCTGGAAGTGTGTGAGAACACCACCCTGCTGTTCAAACCAAAAGAATTGCAAGGAAAGACTTTGGATTGTTCACTTTATTTACAAAATGGAGTAAAGTAGATGTGCCCATTTCCTTTGAAGCAGATCTTTGGATTTCTCTTTGAAAACAAATCCTGGCCCATCTAAGTAAGTGTCTGGCTTTCTTAAGAACTCTGACTTTGTGAATCAAAGTTATTACTGATGTGGAGCGAGACCAAAAAACGACTGAGCCAAATAAGACAGAACTATTATTATGCCAATGGTTTATATCTGGAAAATGGTGATTGAATTGAACAGGGTTGGTGGGGGAGGAAAGGTGAGGTAATGAAAAGACAAGGTATGAAATATTAAAAAGAGAAAACCTCTTTTAGTGGCTGCTATTGAATGAATAAGAAAGGGTAGAACTATTTGAAATATGTGTACAGGAGTTCTCATCAGTGCATCCAGGATGTTGCAATTATTACAGGAAAACTCATATAAGAGCAAAAAATGGTAGGCACATTCCTCCCCTCAGTAAACTTGCTTTGTATGAATGTATTAAATATTTACTGGGCTGGAATTTAGTGAGAGAAACAAAATCCTGTTGGTCCCAGTTTCTACATCTTAATTCTTGGTTCTTTTATTTAGATTGCGTCACCTGAGCTTTCCTGGTAATTATGAACATGGTAGTGATTGCTCTGTCATCTCACACCCAAATAGGAGACTGGGTTGTTATAGTTATATAAATTGGCAGCCCTGTTCAAAAAACAATTTATGGAAGCTATTCTATTCTGCAGTAAGAGCTATAGATTAAAAAATATATGTTTTCTTAATTCAAAAGTTCAAAAAATACTATGAGTAGTCCTTGAGTTATGGACCCTGCCCATTACAATCATAAATTGTTAGTTGCAAAAAAAATTTACATTTTTGTGGCAGTCAAGCAGAAACTTGGGAGGTCGCAAGTGCAAATGTGATTGTTAAATGAAACCATTGTTTGCTATGGTGTGGTTTTGCTGAAAACCGAAAGTGCTGTTGTAATTTTGGATCCAGTCATAAATCCCCTTTTTAAGACAAGTTGTAACTTCAAATGGTCACTAAGTGACCGGTTATAAGTCAAGGGCTATGTGTATTGCATTTTAACTATTTGGCAAGGAGGTATTGTTTATCCCATCTTTATTCCCATCTATATATTTATGCTTAGATTAAGAGAAATTCTTGGAAAGGCAGGGTTTGTTTTTTTAAAAAAAAATCTACTGCCCCTTCTCCAGGGTTTTATATTCACAAAGGTACTATCTTCATGAATAAAGCTGTAGTGAACATACAACATATTTTGCAACATTTTGAGCTGCCTGAAATTAGAAATTACTTTTAAGTCACTTCTTCTGTCTTCAGACTCACAACAGCAGAAATAATCCTTGTTGTCTGGTTTAGCAAAACCTGCATGTAGCATCAAGTCTGGCCTTGTCCAGCTAAATGACTTTGCAGCTCACATTACACTTAAGCCTCTTGGAGATAGAATAGCAATGGTGGATAAACACTTTGCAAATTAGAGTGACAGCCAAAGTTATGCTAACTAGCTTGTGAGCAAAGATGGTGTCTCCCCAAGAATTTCTGCCTCCTCAGCCAGATCTTCATCCCCAGGACATTCCCTCCCCGTTGCAGGCCTCCCCATCAGCCTCCTGTGACCTCCTGTAGGAGAAAGAGAAAGATCTCCATGTCTTTGGACTGTAAATTTCAGAGTGCGACTGTACAAAGAGGGGTTGTGTCTCCTTAGAATCAGGGATGTCAAACTCGCAATGATACATTGTCATGTGGCGTATCACAATTTTTCCTCCCTTCGCTAAAATGGGGTGGGCGTGGTCAGAGATGACGCATTCAGGCCGCAAGTTTGACACCCCTGCCTTAGGTAAAAGCAATGGTGTCAAGAAGAAATATTTTACCCTGGCCTTCTGGATATCTTCACCAGGAGATATCCACCACAAGCACTGCCTAAAAGACGAAGTTATGAATCAGGAAATTCTTCGAGGAAGTGTCATCTCTGCCATGAAATCACTTGGCAGCATTAAGGAAATTGTTCTTTCTCCACCTCACCTCTTCGTTTGCTAAATATAGATATATTATTTCCTTTGCAGGTCAACAGTAGGGACTATAATTAGGTACTACAAGTGGAGTTTGAAACATTTTATAAGTAAGTGTCATATGTAAAGGACATAATTCACTGTAGGGTGTTTGGTTTGTGAACTTTTGGAATTTGAACATTTTCTTTCAGGAATCTAAACATATTCTTACAGTGAAATGTAGGCATGTACCTCCAGTACAAATCAAAAGATATGACAGATGTAGACAGATGATATCCACACTTAAAATATCATGTTGACAACATTTGTACAGAGCTAGGTATGCATATCTTGTGCAATAGGAGAAGTGGATTGTGTAATCAACTTGTATTTTCCAGTTATGTTAGACTTTTTTTCCTGTTTTCCTGCACTGGCCATGAAACATGAGAATTGTAGTCCATTACAGTACCAGGCCACTGTAGTGGGAAAATGTGCATTAAAACAATCACTTAGGTATATAACTTCCTCTTGCAGTATCCAAAATGTTTTGAAATGGTAATGTTCACTTTAGTCAGGGGTGTCAAACTGGTGGCCCGCAGACCAGATGCGTCATACGCAGGCCGCGCCCACCTCTGCTCCGCGAAGGGAAAAACATTGCAAAATGTCACATGACAGCAATGTGACACCACGACTTTGACACCCGTGACTTTGGTGAATTGCAGTACTCCAACTTCTTTCTAAAACTCACTTGGCTTCTACTTTTTGCAGGATATCTTACGGGAAGGTGACACAGATCATGATGGAGAACTCAACTTTGAGGAATTTGCTCAGTACCTTCAGGAGCGGGAACGGAAGTTGTTGCTGATGTTTCACAGCCTGGATCGCAACAATGATGGTAGGAAACCCCTCCAAATATTAGTATGACTTTCATTCTGTCTGAGCCTAAAGTGGAGTCACTTTTCTTTAAACTCTTCTCCAGCTTAACAACATGTAGTGTTTGGTTTATAACTGTGCCATTTTCTTCATTTCCCTGCCCCCCTGTAACAGACCTATTAATAAAGCCATTGGCACCTGTCTTTTTAAAATGTCTTTTAAAATAGTAAGGAGTATTTCATATATATTTATTCTGTATTTGAACAGGACCTAAATAAAAAAACCCGCTTCATTTCAGACTTACAGATCGTACAGTATTTAAAGCCAGAATGTAGGTTACCTGATTTTGGTTTAGCATGTTGTGAACCCAGCCATTGTGGCTTGGGTTTCAGGCTAGCATAGTAACTTCATATTGTGATTTGCTAAATTCATGAACACCTTAACCCATTTCATACAATTCTTTCCATGTTACATTTGTTCAGAAATAATACCTTTCTGTATCTTCACTGATAACAATATATCCTGACTTGTTCTTCTCTCATGCACTTCTAGCCTCATCTGTTTGGGACTCAATTAATACCTGATGCCCAACTGTGAAAATAGAGGTCCAGGGCATAAGAGCCTCAGAGTTTTTGTTCTTTTGGTCATCTGTTCTGTTCTTTTCCTGGGTTGAGTTCCAAAAGCCAAGAAGTATCTGCTCTGTTCTATTTACTTTTTTTTTTTTTTTTAAAAGCCTGGTTAACCTCTAGTCAGTTCTATGATACAGTACAGGCAAGGCTTCTTATAGCCTTGGCTTCTAGCAATAGAAAGCCTTACATATATTATTATTACTATTGCTGCTGTCATAGTCCTTCCAACTTACACCTGATAATTGCAGATTCTTTCAGCTGGCTCCTCTTTCCTTTCATAGACATTCTTATAAGAAGACACAAGCAGCCACATTCCACTTTTTAGCTGGTGCTGCCTTCTGAACTAGTTAGATGCAATGCAGTATATCCTGTTATCAGGCAGAGTGCTGTTGTAGGGCAATCCGAGATGATCAGTCCAGATTAGGGCAAAATTAAGCATTACCTGGCTGAATATATGTTGTATTTAGCCATGAAATCACAGGATGCTACTCTTACATCTCTTGCTCATTTCTCTCTGATTCATATGTCTGGAAATAATGGATATACCATAAAAGCTTTTATGGTATAAAATACATTGGACTCATCATTCATATATATATTGATAAGAGCCTTGGTGGCGCAGCAGACTAAAGTGCTGTTAAGTAGCACTTAGCTACCAGCTGTCTGCAATTACTGCAAGTTCAAATCTCACCAGGCTCAAGGTTGACTCAGCCTTCCATCTTTCCAAGGTAGGTAAAATGAGGACCCGGATTGTGGGGGCAATAAGATGACTTTGTATAAAAAAGAGCACCGCGGGGGGGGGGCGCAAAAGCCCTACTAAGCAGGTATATACAAAAGTATGAAGGCTATTGCTTAACGCATTGTAAGCCGCCCTGAGTCTCCAGAGAAGGGTGGCATATAAATCGAACCAATAAATAAATAATAAATATATATATATAATGACTCCATGGGTTCCATATGTCATTTTTATACACACACACACACACACACACACCAAGAAACCCCTAGCTGGTGAAGAAAAGAGACAAGCCCAAATTTTTAAAATGTGCAGTTGAAAATTTTTTCCTTTCTGTATGGCCTTCCCTGTTACAGAACTATTTTGTGTTTTGCCAAGCAAGTTGTTTCTCTAAACAGACAAAGCAGAAATAAATCCACTGAACACAGCAGCACTTACCGCTAAGTTAACATTGGTAGGATCTGGGCAGTGTGGTTACATAAATATGTCCTATTCATTTATTTTTGAATTTGAAGATGTTCCTGAGCTGCATAGAGACATGCTGTTATTATTGTGCAGGAGTTGCATTTTTCTCTTTAAAGGAGACATGAAAGTAAACTTGACAAACAACTAATCAAATTTCACTTTGGCCTTTCCCTCTCCATTTGAAGAGAGAATACTTGGAAACAATGAACCAACAGTGTGGTAGATTAGGATGCTACAAACTGTAGTTTTCTGGCGACTTCTGAAACTGAATAATAATAAAAAAAAAAAAGTCTGAAACTATCAGGTAACTTTTTAAACTGGCCTTGTTCTAATGAGAACAAGAAAAAAGAAATGTTGAGTTTGAAATTGTCCAGATTAGCTTCTCCAGCTGCTTTCAAATTGGAATTTCTAGCCAGAATGGTCCAAACCAGATTGGTAAAGACTGTGCTAAAAGCATTGGTTGCTAAAGGATGAAGGCTTTAGTTGATTCTTCGTGACACATTCCTTTTATATTGCTCTTATGCAGTGCAGATTTGAATCCCTTTTTGAAGTCCTTGTCAGACAGCCCTGGGGATTATATAGCTTCCTATTACATAAGGGTCTTCCCCGTTGGCTTGCAATTTTATTTTCAGCACTTTGTGTTTCCATTTAATGCGCTCAGCTCAAGCTGCAGCCTTATTTCCAGATCTTTCTGCCATGTCTTTAAACTGCTGCTTACTCAGCAAACATTAAGCAGGTGCTGTTTTTCCTTGCATCAAAGTAAGGGGAAGGACAGGGGGGAAAGGCCAATATAAAAAAGTTTCTTTATCAACTTTCTTTAAGAATTTAGCACTGGAGGTTTAAAACTGATAGTTAAATATGCAGATTTTTGAGGAATACTTGGGAGAAGCAGCTTGCTGAATTAGGTTGAGTCCAGCAAATTGGGAGTGAATGCAGAGGTTTCAACCAGTCTCCTGCATCTTGCACCTAGTGCAGGGGTGTCAAACTTGTGGCCCATGGGCCGGATGTGTCGCGTGCTGACCCTGGTTTAACGAAGGGGGGGAAAGTCCCAATACGTCATGTTGATACTGCTGTGACAACGCGAGTTTGACACCCCTGACCTAGTGCAATCAATGGAGAAATATGCATGTTCTATTCTGACCCCTCCCTCTCAACTACTGCTGGAGAATCATGCTTGTTCTTCTTTGTCGCTATACGTTCTGTCTCCCTGGCCCTGAAGGTCCTTTGTTTAGCGATAAGCCCCCTTGAGTAGCCAGCTTCTCTAGTCAACTATCTGTCCTATGAAAGCCTATGAAAACAGAGATGGCAATTTTCTCACATTCTCAAAAATATACTAAGCTCAAATCAAAGAAACAAGATAATGGCTTAGTATAAAATAGGAATCTGGCCTTCCTTGGCTGTTTGAAAACCCTAGCTTGCATCTTGGTGCATTGAGTCAAGATAGCCAATTACACTTTATTCAGTAAACTATAATTTAGCATACCAGAGTTTGATACAATGTGTGAGCCAGATCCACAACAACCTTCCTTTTAAAAGAGCTGTCCTAGTTGTGAAAAGGAAAAAAACCTCTGTTGATTCAGTTTTTCTGGTTGCTCAGTGTCTTTTCCTGTGGGGCCAAAAATAAGGATTTCAGCCCGTAGAGAAGAATATAAAGTTGGCCCAGGAGCAAAAGAAACACTAGTTGGAGACAACAGAATCCATGGAATTTGGGAAGGCTGCTCTTCTACAAGACTTCGTTTTTCAAGACTATACATACACAAAAGGGGACAACTGGTTTCCTAAGATAATTTTGAAAATGACCTCCAGTTCCACCTCCTTGCCCCCTCTTCTAAAAGAGAATGTTAGTTTGGAACCCAGGCATAAAGCCCTCTTTCTGATGAAATTGTGCTCTTTCTGTAACTCAAGCCAACAATAGTCATCTTGATGATGATTGTGGGTGATAGCATCAGTTTGTTTCACACAAAAACAGTTTGGTCAAATTTTATTGGAGATTATTAAAGACTGGCTATCGTTCTACCCCATCCAGCAGCCATTGAACTAGCTATCGTTCTACCCCATCAAGCAGCAATTCAGGATTTTTCCTTGTATTGGCATACAGAGAAAGAGGCAATGTTCTCCTTTTCTTTTTCCTGTTAAGAGAGCTGGCTATGTATTTGTGTGGGAGCAACTGTGGGTTGAAAAATGCCAAAGAAAGCATCTTTCTAAACTACAGTCTCGTTGCAAAAATACCTAGGCATGTGTGGTGTTGCTTGGTTTAAAAACATAATAAAGCACACAAAGAAAATATCCCACTGGTTTGAAATTTAGACTTAGCAACCATCATTCCATTTTCCATTATTTCCAAGATAGACTACTGCAGTGAGATTTAATGCAGGACTGACCTTGTGGAGGTTTGCCAGAACTTAACTGTGCAAAACTTTGTGGATATTCTCCACAGGCTAAACCTAAGCAACTTTCAGACAAAATCAGATTTTTTTTTATTAAGGTAGTAGCGTTTAAGTGATTGACTACTTTGAAGATGACATTAAATAAATATTTTTGTCTATTTAATATAATTAGGCAACTGATTTTTTAAAAATATCGTTTTCAATAAAAGTGCATATAAGCAGATGACAATAGATATGCCATTTCTTCAATACATAGGAAGAATGCTTCTATGATTTCTTCTGGTCCATATATGTGCACAGTAAAAAATGATATCCTTCCTAGTAGAAAAATATTTGAGACCCCCACTTCATTGTTAGATTGATTACTGACAAGTTTAAATCAGTTACAATTTATTTTAATTATATTCAGTTAAAATTAAATTATATGTAATAACATTAGGAACCAGGATTGAGGTAGGATGAATAATAATTATTATCTGCCCTGAGCCTTATAAATTCAGAAATAGGGGATATGCAGGACTGAATCAGGATTCTAGATTCATATGGGTGGACATTTTTACACTCCTGGGGGGCGGGAAACTAACATGGAACATGATCCTTTGCATAAAATTAGAATATGCTAATTGAGAGGAGGAGCGAGATTAGGATTGTGCAGTGCTTTGGAATCAATTTAGCACTTCAGAATATGGAGGAATGCAAACACAATCCTCTTCTGCAGTTTACTAGAGGAGCTGGAAGTTTCCTCAAAGGAGCCTCAGGAACAAGGAAGAAGGGACTGTGTGTGTGTGTTCTCCTCTGTCCTGAA